CATGCCCTCAATTTATTTCTTTTTTTTCTTTTTTTTTTATTAAGTTATTATCTGTGTACATATTTTAACATTGCCCCCCCTCCCATACATACCCTCCCTCCCCAGAGTTTTGTGTCCATTGGTTGTACTTATATGCATGTATACAAGTCCTTCGGGGACTTATGTAATACTTTAAATAATAAAGAATTAAAAATAAGTAAGTAAGTAAATAAATAAATAAATTTATCTAAAATATATATATATATTTCAAACAAACAAAAAACACTCCCTGAGGGGGTTTTCTGGTCTACCACCTTCCTGGAATAGTGTGGGGGAAAAAAGTCATAAAATAAACCTCCCCAAGCTCCTAACCCCTCTGTGATCTGCCCTAGGGCAGTGGTCGACAAACTCATTAGTCAACAGAGCCAAATATCAACAGCACAACGATTGAAATTTCTTTTGAGAGCCAATATTTTTAAACTTAAACTATATAGGTAGGTACATTGTTATTAACTTAATTAGGGTACTCCTAAGCTGGCCTTTGCTAAAAACTCAAGGGGCCAAAGAGCCGCATGTGGCTCACAAGCCGCAGTTTGCCAACCATGGCGGGAGTTAACTACACTCTGTGGAATATTCTCAGAGTGATCATTGTTTGCAACCCCAGGGATGCCTGGGACCAGCATGGCACATGAATACCTACGTCCTGACACGCGGCCGGTGTACTAGAATAGAGAAAACTGAGATGAACATACCGTTGGTTAGATCCTTGGCTTGAACATCTTTTTCTTCCTCTTGTTTCTTCAGCCATCTTGAAAAGCAGAAAATTTCGGGAGAGTGCTAAGCTTCTGACGAAGACAGGAGAGGCAAACGCATCTCCGTTTCTCTCAAAGACAGTTTTCCTGATCTCCCCATGTTGCTGGCACGGCCAAGGGTGACCCTGAGAGGGGGTGGCTAAAAGGCTTAGAAAAGACAGATAAGAGAATGAAAGCTGCTTCCTGAGAACGCCGACACTCACAAGCCATCTTTATTTTAGAGCTGAAGTCACGAGGCAAAGTAAGGGCGTGGTCAAGATGTTTATAGCATTCTCATGGGTTTCGAATCTACTCAACTACATGCACCTGAACTCTATCAAGCCCACATCACTCAGGCGCATGGGCCATGTGCTCAGACCACAGGTTCAAGCTATCATTGTGCGGGGTGGGGGTGGAGGGGATCTGCCCTCCAAATAGGGACTTGCATGTCGCCCCAAGAGGACTGTGCCCTCTCAAGAGTCCGAGGCTTGAACCCTGTAGCCGCGCCCAAGACTACAAACATTCCATCTCCTCTTCAATTGAAGTGTACCCTCCATGCCTGAACTAGGCTATGAGGGGGTCCAGTTGGGTTGGGGGGTTGGGACAATGCCCTGTAAATAGGAGCCTCAGGTTTGGAAATTTGCCGGAAATTTCCAGGTTGGCTCACAATAAGTGTGGGACTGCAGGTTCCTAATTAGGTTGGACATTCCCACCACTTTCTCATCATCGCTGCCACGAATGACATGCTGCTAATTATGCTGCATAGTTGTGTGCTCCAGGGCCATTGTGGTCCATAAAGAGCAAACGTATAACGTAGGAAAACACTCCACTCCAGGCCAACTCAACTCTAACATGAGGTGTAGTTGGCCCATGAAGCAACTACTACAGCTGACACGCAGCCATTTTTCCCCTACATTAATGGCTTTCTGTGCTGGGGGCAGGGCCAACAACATCAACAAAAAACAAAGGCACAGTTGATCTGTAGTGGCTTTGAGGGTGTGGGCTTGTATCGTGTCATCTTTTCTACTGACTCTTCTCCAGACTGAGAGGCGAAGAGAGGGGAGAGGAGAACACTAATTTCCACTGAGGAGGAGAGCTTGCCTCAGTTTCTCCTTCCATTGCACCTAATGTTAGAACGAGGGTTTGCAGGTGTGAGCAAGGAGAGGTGAGAAGAACGTGAAGGCCATAAGTGGAGGGAAGTACGGAAGCCCAAGTGTAGACCAAGGATGCTTTTGGATGGGGCTTGGGGCTCAGCTGACTCCCCCCTGCCCCCACTTTCAGAAACCCTGGTTCCTTGTGTCTCTCGAGGGCAGAAACTGTACCCAGAAGGAAGAGGCCAGAGCAGGCACCTGGACCCTCACACAGGCACAGATTCAGCCGGAGCGGCAGTTTCGGCATGGAAACCTCATGTCCCAGACAACCATTAAACACTCAACGTGCCCGACTGCCAAGCTAGAGCAACACAAAGTCAACCAATATCGGGTCCATTCCAAATGATGGCTTTATAAGTATGCATATGATTAAATCCACTTGTGTCCCCTGGGGCACAGAGATGGGTGGGACAGCTCCCTTGGCACCCCTTCCCGACCATAAACAGGGATATGAAGAGTCAACCACTCCGTATCATCCTTCAATTTATAAACCACTTTATTCCAGTCCCTTGAATATCACAGGCTGGCTTGATTTCAGACAGAGCAGAATCCATCCCTCAACACAGCAATGACAATGAACAGCCCGGCGCAGGAGTGACATAAACCTTCAGGCATCCCGCTTTCTGTGTGCTGCAGGGTCCCTTGGCCAAAACGAGTGCATTGCATTCGTCCTGCAAAGGCCTTCCCAAGAAGGAGGAGAAGAAAAACAACCCTCGAGAAAATACAGACAGGGTCAATGGCAGGCCAGGATGAGGACTATTTCTGTATGTCCCCAGCGTGACGGCGTTCATTAGCCATGCATCTGGCTCTTGTTTTCTTTCCTAAACAGCTGGAGACCCTCTTCCCGGCTTCGGGTTCTAGGAAACAAAGTGAGTTTGGTTCAGCAAGATATCACGACCAAGGACAGAGCCCAGGTGGGTTTCCCAGACATGACCTCGCTCCACGCTCTAAGGAGAACTCAAAGGAGGATTTAGGTCTTCAGTCAAGGTGGGGAGAGAGTGAGGTGTGCCTCCTGGACACTACTGATAGAAGTGCTTGGTTCCCTCCCTCACTCTGTACTCACGTCTTAGGTTAATCTCCTATTTTTCCAAAACTAGATTTTCCCACCCGGGCCATGGAGGAACTTGGCAAGTCTCCGTGTAAAACAATTGTGAGAAACTCACACTCGGAGGAGGATTAAAATGATTTTATGGAGTCCACGTCTCAAATTTCATCCTGCAAAATGGGTTCATGTTGGTCAACCACACAAATTTGGATTTTTGCTACCTGTTAAGGTAGATTCAAGTAAATACATAAGAATCTGGAGGTTAGAAAGGGCTCAGCATCATCTTCCTCATGGTTATGATGTCTCTCTTTCTGTGGTCCTTGGTTTACAGGAAGTAGTGAGGCAGGAGACAGACCCACTGGGGGCCTTCTGCCTTTTCTTGGGGTAGGTTCTTCCCCTCTACCATTTGGGTTTCCTCATGCCTTCTGCTTATTGAAATATGGCTCCCCTGTCATCAGCAAATTTCACTCTTAATTTTCAATTCAAACTAGTGTGCCCGAGGTCACCAAACAGCAGCTCAAATTTGTGCTGTCGCTTCTGGAAATAGAAACCTTCATTCAAAGAACACGGCGATGGAAAACACCTTTGGATTCTCCATCGTGGGCCTTGAAAATCATAGATGCACTTGCCCGTGCCTTCTTCATTAGGAATCAGATGATTGTTCCCCCCCCCCCCCCCCCGCCCCCTGACTCCGTAGGGCCAGTTGGGGCATGGAAAGTCATCTTCCCAGATACAACTCCCTAACCATTCATGAGGACCAAACCAGTGGGAAGTCCTGAGAATTTATACTACATTTCTCCCGGGTCTACAGAATGTCCATCTGCTCAGACACCTCCAATGTGAAACTGCCAACCAGCTGCTGGGCTGGGGGGCCACCAGTCACCTCACATCTCTCATAAGGTAAACCATCTGGCGCTCCATTTGCGGGTCCCCACTTCGGCCTGCCCTGCTTCTATTCTCCAGGCACTGCTACTCTGGAAAAACATTCAACATTAAGGTTGGGCTAGTTCAGGATGACTCGGTACTGTTCTGGAATATATAAAATATGCCTGCTGATTGGTGCATTGGTGCAAAGACAGATATGACTTTAAAACAAGACATAGACATTCATTATAATTGGCTTACTTCACAATAAGCTACCAGAAACAGTCTTTTGTAATAAGATTGGATTAGTGCTCACTAAACATGCATTTCATTGAAACAAGGCGAAACACTTAATTTGGTCTGCAATACCCAATATTTTATATACAGCATTCTTCTTTTGTTTTGTTTTTTGTTTTTGTTTTTGTTTTTTTGTTTTGTTTTGTTTTAAATCACAAGAAGCAACAAGATGGGTCTGGTCTTGGGATACAAGTTACCATTTGTGATCACTTTCCAAAGAAACTCATCTTAGCTCAACTCGTGTAAACCTGTGAAAAAATAGCTGAGCCATCTTTTTCTCTCCGCTATTACTTTATCTTGAAATGTTCACAGCTTAGAAACTACAGCCTGCTGGAAAGGAGGGGGGAGAGGGGAAGCAGGCCTGTGGGGGGAATTCCCCAGGCCCCTTGAACAGCCTGGCCCTAGAAGGCTCCACATTCCCAGGCTGGGGACCCCACATCTGGTGCCATCACCCTTGGGGCATGTGTGACAACAGACCGGGGGTGGATGGGGGAGTTTGTTTTTCAAGCAAGCCCCTCAAAGCTTGCGCCAGATGGGGTTCCCTTCTCCTGCCTCCCCGCATCTTCGGTTTTGGAACAGAGACGTTAGAATCAAGAGGAAATAATCATAAAAATGATGAAAGTCGTCAGAGCAACGAACACCACAAAGTCTGTGCACGACAGCACGGTCCATGCGCTCCCCGAGGTGTTGGGGCTCTGGGCATTCCCACGAAGCGTCCACGACGAAAGAAGCGGAAGGCGGCATGGAAGGAGGTGCCTCTGACTGCGGGGGGACAGCATCACCGTCAATATTGTTTGGCAAAGAAAAAAAATTGTTAAAAAGAAAAATCAAAAGGGAACAACACAAGCAGCTCTACAATTCGTGGGCGCGGGTTCAGAACTGGCCGGCACTGCTGGGGTCGCACTGCAGGAGGCGCACGATGGACGGGTCGCTCTTGGCTCCTCGGATGAACTCCTCCAGGGAGAGCTTGCCTAGGAAGCAAGAGGAGGGAGCACGGGTGAGTGGCGGCAGGTGGCAGCTGGAAAACTCACTCATCCCACCGCATCTGGGAGGCAGTGATGGCTCCCCTGGTCCCTGCCATCCAACACCTCCACCCTCCCAGTGGGAGGCCCAGGGGGCAGCTCTTGCACAGGGATTGCAGAGCCAGCCCCGCCCCTGGCTGGCACACTTCTTCCTGGGAGCCCCCATGTTCCTGCCCTGGCAGGTGGCCCTGCCCTGACCCCAGCTCTCCTGCTTCTCCAGCTGCAGGTGCCCTGGATGGGCTCTCTTATTTGTGGAAGGAATGTCCCCTCAGCCTCTAAGAGACCGAGCTGGGCTCCCCCTGGCACCAAGGCCATTCTTTCCCATGATGTTACGGTCACCTGGGTTACTTAGGCTTGCTGAGTGAGATGGGGAGGGGAGAAGCATGCTGATATCTGAGGGAGGGCCCCTCTAGGACAGCTGCACCCCCACTAATATAAGGAAAATAAAGGGATGTGTGTGCAAGGCAGGGGGTGCCCCCTGGGACCCTCCCATCAAACAGAATGCTTTCCTCCTAGGCTGGCTGCCTGGCTGGGAGAGAAGCCACCTGGGGCCCCCTCTTACGGGTCCTTTCCAGAAGGGAGGCAAAGCTTCTCCCCATTCCCGGTGCTTCCTGGGGGGCCTCCCTGGGAGGAGCTGCTGGGCCTGTCTCCTTAGCTTTGCCCTCTTCTTCCTCTTGGCAAGACGTGCTCCCCTCGGCCCTCCAAGGACCGATGCCTGGTTGCCCTGCTCGCTGCTGCTGTGGGTTTGGCCCCCACGCCCATGGAGCCACATCCTTCAATGAAGCTCGGTCCTCTGGCCTCTATTATTGCTCTATTGGTCACCTAATTCCAGCTCCAGGCAGGAGGGATACCCTATATGGGAGCCCTCACCGTCTACCCCAACAAAATACGTCTTCTGCTTAGCCACAGCCCCTCCCCAGGTCCTAGCTCTTGGTTAACCAAACTTGCCTTTTTCCACATGAAGGAGAAAGGCAGGGATCAATCTATCATCTATCTATCTATCTATATCTATCTATCTATCTATCTATCTATCTATCTATCTATCTATCTACTTTCAATCTGTAGAGCAGGTGCTCCCTAAACTGTGTGTCTTGGTTCCATTGTGCAAGCTATGCCCAGGCTCATGCAGTAGTTGAAACAGTGACAGCTTCCTCTGCTCTGAGCTTGAAATCCAACCTTCCCTCCACTTTGGTTTGCTTGCAGCCCCTTGCTGGGTTTGAATTGGGGGGATGGCACAATCAGGGAGGAACCTGATGTCCACATCACTCTCCTCCCATCCCTACCCACCCTGCGGCAGTGAGAACCCACTAGGCTCCAGGTAACCCAACACAGAGCATGCGCAGGAGGGTCCACTAACCCCTGGCCAGCCGAAGTGAAAGCTAAGGGTGTCAGACTAGCATGCCAAGCCCCTCCCCACTTTCTGATGAGCTGTCCTGCAAAAACCCAGCCTGCTGTGGCCTGGGCTTGTCCCTACCCTCATCCTCCTCAGAACTTTAACACCGGGGAGCAGGCAGCATGAGCTCCTTTTATAAAGAGAGGGCCCTGAGCTAGGTCCTCGTGGCCAATTCCTTGTCCTCGAGCGGCATTTCCCGGCCTGAACGCCCAGCCCCTCCTGCAGTCCCCACCCTGAGCAAAGCCACGTGGCCTGGTCCTCCTACCATCTCTGTTGGTGTCCATCTGGCGGAAGATCTTTTCCGTCCTCTTCTCCGGGGTTGACTCATCTTCAGGCATCTTCATGACGGAGGAGACCATCTTGTAGATCGCCTGGAGGCAGAAACGACAGCGTGGGATGTCAGAAACAGTGTGGAGGGGCCCACAGTAGCCCCTGTCATTACACCTCCCAAACGCACGGGTGAGCTGAAGGGAAATTCCTCGCTTCACAGAGGGAGCTACCCTGTCCCCGCTGGTCTGCTGTGGAAAAGAGGCACAGTCACAAATGGGAGAAGCCAAGCCACAGAGCTCATGTCAGCACTGAGAGCCTTCAGGAGGGGCAGCTGGCAGGGAGACCCCGGAGCCCTGAGTGTCACACCGTAGGGTGCATATGGATGCCCTGGGGATCATGACCATGCGGGATCTGACTCAAGAGGGTGGGCTGAGGACCTGAGATCCTGCATCTCTACCAAGCTCCTATGTGGTCCTGATGCTGACCTCCGAGGACCAAGCTGCTAGGAGAAGACTATGAAAGGGCAGGGCAGGGCAGGGCTAACTCCTGGGAATGAGAGGGCAGAGCGGAACTCCTGAGCCTCCATTTTGTAACGGGACCCTAGCCCTCACCCAACCAATCAGGGTCAGCCAAAGCAGTGACTTCACCACCCCTATAAAACCTTTTGATCTGTTGAAGCTCGTGTTCTTCTGCCACACCGCTGTCGGTGTAAGTGGGACAGAGCCCATGCTAGCATGGAACAGGCTTTCTGCTATTGCATCGGACTTGGCTCCCTGGTGGTCTTTGAGGATCAGGAAATCTGAGTGTAACAGCTGCAGATAGCATTCGTCAGGCCTGAGTGATGGGCTGGGGTAAGCTGTGGCCTCCTGTGAGGTCCCTCAGGATGGCAAACACCTGACCTTCTGCAAGTGCAAACCCTGGTCTGCTCCCTGGCAAGCAGCCCCTCCGTCCAATGCTCTTCCTTTTGATGGAATTTGTCTCGCATCCTTTCTCAGCGAGCTCCCAAATATCCCCCCGTGGAAACAACCTGTCACCGAAGTTTGGGATTAAATAATTATGCAATCTCGGTTTTGAGATAAACTGGATGTATCTGAAATCTGCTGAGCTCTTCATTTACTCTCCCACCCATACTCAGTCATTCACTTATTCACTCTGTCATGCATCAAATATTTATTGATCAATTATTCTACACCGGGCCTTATCATCTACCCCATCCTTGTCATCATGGTTTTACTTTTAAATAAGGCAGAGCAACATTGCTAAAATAAAGAAATGAATGTAAAACTATTTTTGAAAGCAGTGCCTCAAAGGAAGATGTGTGGTTTTATGAGACAATGTACCAGGAATACTGAACTGTCACACTCAACAGAAAGTCTCCAAGAATTTTAGTCCTTAGCTAGTAGGCAAAAGGAATTGGGTTGGGACAGAGAAATAAGGACAGGTTCATACAAAATTAAAAAAAAAAAAAAAAAAAAAAAAAAAAAAAGCCCACAAAGAAAGTCAAAATGCTCTTCCATGACTATATTTGCAAAATGGAGCTCTGGAATGGAGCAAGAAGCTAATGTCGGAGCACACTGTGGGGTTGAGGAGGAAGTGAGGGCTCCTTTAAGAGGCTCACATTTACAGATGGCTCTCATAACCCTCAGACTAAGTGTTGCTGGTTTTTGTTTGTTTTGAGTGTGCATCAGCTCACAGACAGGAATTACATAAAAGCAGGCCTATGACGTGGGTGGTACTAGAGAAGTGAGCAAAGAGCTGAGGTGACGAGACCCAGTGGTCCCCAGAGTAAGTAGGTGACAGCCTGGCAAAATCACATTTAGGGAATTGTCTGTTCCTTTGTTTGCTTCCCACGGCATCAACAACCCAGAGCTGATTGCATTAGAACTTCCAAATCTAGGACTCCAGAGCACAAGGAGGGAAAAGACACAACTCCAGACAGCAATCTGAAACAAATCATGTCTTTTATTAGCTCCAATTCCACCCCCACCCCCAAATTTAATGGGATTAAACCAGAAGAAGCCAGGCAACTTCCCTACATTATTTTTAGCAACATCAATGAGAGGCCCAGCAGGGACATCCTGTTTTTAATTAAACTTGAAGAACCCTATTCTTGTCTCTGGGTAAATGCAGAGCTCTGGGGCCCAGCTTCGGCTCTGTCCCTCACAGGCCCTATAGCCAGGCGTCTTACCAGCTTCCTCATGACCTATATTTGTCTTCCCCTTTCCCTCTTGGAATGTTGGGAAGGAAGGACTCACACCCTAATTCATAAATTCTGTTGGGAGAGGGGGGGCAGGTACAATTCCAAGAGTTAAGGTTCAACCCTCTCTCTGAAGAAAACCAGGCTGGGTCTTCTAACAGGAGGGACATCCAAGGCCCCACAACAACCAACCAAGGGCAAGAGAAGTTAAGCAGCGCAGGGCTGTTCTTGGATTACAGGTAAAGGCCAGCACCCTGCATCGAAGGCTATTACATACCAGGAAAGGAGGCCACAAGGGTCTTTCTTGGAAACACTTTTAAAACTGGGTGAATATCTACATATCTGGAGTGGTGTAAGTGCTTTCTTATTTAGAATTTTAAGAATCTACACCAATAAAAGAGAAATATGTAAATTGACTGTTCCTCCAAGACGCCCACCAGCCAATCAGGAGGTAATATGCAAATCAGCAGGACAAAGATGGCAGCAGTCCTGCCCCCAGCTGCTCCAAGCACAGAGCAGCCAGGTGGGGCAGGACACTTGTTATAAGGTGGAGGGCGAGGGGTGGAGGGAGCTACAGGAGCAGTGTTCTAGCCAAGCGAAGCAAAGAATCTGGCTGGAGTGAAGGGGAGCCAGCGAGAAGCCTGCAGACTCTGGCCAGAGTCAGCAAAGACTCTCGGCTGGAGTGAAAACTCTGGCCAGAGTGAAGGCCTGGATCTTGGGTGCCAGTGCTGGTAGCCAAGTGAAGGAAGGCCTACTGCACGAATCTTCGTGCAATGGGCCTCTAGTATGTTAAATAATTAGCTTCCCTAATATCCTGCCAAGGTGTTTTAGGTATGTTTACAGTTGGGGGAAAAATAAGGGAAAAATACAGGCCCTACCCCTTTTCAACCACAGCAACTTCATTCTTATATTAGGTTTCCTGTAAGGCAAGTATGTCAAACCTACAGCCGGTGGGCTGCATGAGGTGGCCCAGTGGCTGTGAGTTTAACATGCTTGATACAGTTTTTCTTGAAAAAAGCAAACTCATTTTGTCCCCACCACTCCAAAAACTTCATTTATTTGTAAATAGCCCATTCATCCATCCTGAAATCAAGACAAAAACAGCCTTAATATTTTCTTAAATCTATTATTCTTTGAGCCACTCTTATTTTAAGTCAGTGTTGGTACCCATCAGTTTAGATATGGGCAATTGATATTTATTCAATCTTATATACAGTACTATGTGATAATAATGAGGATTTTTTTTTTCAGTAGAGTTACACATACATTGATATATATGCGATTTGATATGTATGCTATTTTGTTGTATTGACAACAAGCTTTAAATCTCCATATGTCAAATTTTCTGAAGAAAAAAAATCCGCATTATTAAGCAGTACACCTAGTAAAGTGTTACACAAAGGCAGCTTCGAACAGCCTTTTCCAAATAACCCTTTTCCTGTCCTAAGCAGACATTCTGGAATTGTGCTCTAGGCCTTCACATATGGGGAGAAGGCAATGAGTGTTTTTGGAATGTGCACCTGGAAGCACTGGTGTAACATTTTATGATGCCCATTAACAGACATAGTAGAGGTGAAGATTTAGGAAGAATCTGTCTCTTCATTTATAATGGGGCCTAGGTTGTTGTTAGGATGAAGTGAGATCATGCATGTGTACTTGGTTGACTGGTGTCCTGCAAAAATCCCCATCTACCCTGAACCAGTGAATGTGACCTCATTTGAAAATAGTGTCTTTGAAGATATAATCAGGTTAAAATAAGATCATACTATGATAGATTAGGGCAGGCCCCAATCAATCCAATGACTGGCGTCCTTAAAAAAAGAGATAATTTAGACACAGCATACAGAGAGAATGCCACGGATGATGGAGGCAGAGATGGGAGGATGTACCTGCAAGCCAAAAATTGCCAAAGATTGCCAGCCACTACCAGAAGCTAGGAAAGAGTCATGGGACAGATATCCCCTGGGATTCTCGGGAAGGGACCAACCTAAACCACACCTTGATTTTGGACTTCTGGCCTCCTCTCCTGGGACAGAAAGCATTTCTGTTGTTCTAAGCACCCCGCTTATTGTAATTTGTCATAATAACCTTGGGAAATGAATACAGCGTGGAGAACACTATGACTATGCCTAGCCCATAACATGCACTGAGAAGATGAGACTTCCTGGAGGGAATGAAAGAACAGTGCAGTGGCTGAAACTCGGCTTGGGAATATCCACGTTTAGAGGAAACAGGAAACGGAATAGGAGTCCACAGAGGAGACCGGGAGGGAACAGCCAGAGGGGTGCCTTTGGGAAGTGGACAACACTCACAGTGCCAGATGGCACAGTCGATGCGAAGAGTTACAAACTATAGAGTGGCTTCTCGTGATAAGACCAATCCCCTAGTAAGAGAAGGAAACACCAAACACAACGAATAAGCAAGCACTAAATAAGCTCTAAGAGAAAGTCACTTGTATAAACGATTGCTTTCAAGAGTTTCCTGCAGGAAAGAAATCTAAGTTGCATTCCAGAGTGACATCTGTGGTCCACATTCATAACTGAGAATTAGGCAAGAGTGTGGAGCTCAATTCCCAGGGGCATATCACAATGGACTAGAAGCTCTCCCCACCCCAATTTATTTTTTTCCAGAATCAGAAGAGCACAGTGTTTCAGGTCCCCAAGGATTATAGCATCTATGATGCAATTTAAAAAGATTATTGGGAGAGAAATTCACATGGCACTCAGAAGTGGTTCTGAAAAGGATGTGCAGCACTGTCTGGTCCTTATTTTGGTTCTCTGTGGCACGAATATTCACAAGCTGGTTGTCTGAAGTGGTCACAGTTGGGACTCTGGCCATCAGGTGGGGTTACTGGGTAAGTTTGCTTGGTGCTCCTGGAGGCCAAACCTTTACATGGCCATCGCC